AACAACCCTCTCGGGCCGTCTTGGACGCTGTGAAAACCCAAGAGGCGAATATGGTAAACATAAACGTTTTCCGACGGGAATGGGCCCATTCTTGCCTCTTGAGAGTCGGGGCCTTGTGGGGCTTCCTGGGAGCTTTTCGGGTGCCTCTCAGGGCTTCTTTGGGGTCTCTGGGGGACTCCTTGGGGCCTCTTGGAGAATCTTTTGGGGGCCTATTGGGGACTCCTGGGGACCTCTAAGGGCGGAGAGCTTCAGATGTCCGTTCGGGGACCCCCTCTGGGCCCCTTCTTGGGGCGTCTTGGGGCCCTCTTCGGCCGTCTGGGGGCCCTCTTGAGCTGTCTGGGAGCCATCTTGGGAGCCTCTTGGGCCGTCTTGGGACGACCTTCGGGGCCTCTCGAGCCGTCCTGGACGCTGTGAAAGCCCAAGAGGCGAAAACAGATTTTTTTTTTGTTTTTCCGAAGGGAATGCAATCATTGTTGCCTCTCGGGGCTCTCTTGGGAGGCCTCTTTGCGTCTTGGGGGCTTCGTGGCGGCGTTGGAGGCATCTCTGAGGCCATCTTGAGCCATCTTGGCCGTCTTTGGAGGGCATCTAAGCCGTCGTGGAGCGGGAAAGAGAGCTCCTGGAGCCCTGGCACCGCCATGTCGCGAGGCCGCCGGGAGCCCCGGCACCCTCATGGGGGATGAGCCCCATCTTGGGCGTCTTGGTGCAAGTTTGGTTGTCCCGGGGGCCTCCTAGGAGCATCCGGGAGCTCTTGGGAGGAGTCGCGAGGCCGCCGGGAGCCCCGGCACCCCCATGGGGGAATGGGCCTGCCCCCCCTGCAGGCCCTGGAACGCGGTGCGCGCGTGTGTGTGTATATATATATATATGGGTTTGCAAGGAGAGAGAGAGAGAGAGAGAGAGAGAGAGAGAGAGAGAACAAAAAAAAAGAAGAGGGAAAGAAAATGAGAACAAACGAGAGAATAACTGTATCCGCCAATGTGCCTCCAGCACGAAGTCTGGTGACCCAAAACTCACAACTGTGCTGCTGCTGCTACCACAATCGTAGTTTCCTGAGGGCATGGAACTCTGGAATTCTCGGCAATCCCAAGGTCTTCCAACATTTTCCAAGGTTTCATCCGTGTTTCCTGGTGGTCCTCTGGACGCTGTCCCCGCCCAAACGACTTCCCTAACTCTGATGTGTCCAAGAGGGCTGTGATTCGCCGAAAGATCGCTCCAAGGTGCCCAAGATAGCCTCCAGACGGCCCAAGAAGCCCCCGATGGCCCAAGAGGCCTCTAGGAGCACTCCCAAGAGGCAATCCTCATTGTAATTCACTCGAAGTTGATGAATTTTGGCGTTTCCGCCGTTTCGAGTTCCTGACGGTCTAACACGGCCCTAGAGGCCCACAGTATCCAATACCTTCCCACGACAGCCTGGGAGGCCCCCCAAGAGGGTGCCGAGACGACCCAAAAGGCCCCCAAAAACGGCCTGACAGGACGGCTCGAGAGGGCCTCAAGATCGCGCCAAAGAGGGACTCGAGCTTTTCGTCCCAAGAGGCCCCCCGGAGGCCCAAAATGTTACACATGGGGTTCCCAACAGGCCCCAGGAAACCTCGAACGGGACCCCTGAGAGGCTTCGGAACTGCCCCCCAGAGGCCACCGAGAGCTCTCTGAAGAGACCCCCAAAACTGAAGAGGCCCTGGAACACACAAATAAATACACACAAATAACAGGATTCCCCATCTTTTCCCATCTTTTCCCGACGGCCGACCGATCCGCCGCCCCCGGTGGCTTGCCACAGGGGCGCACCGCGTGCCGGATGTTGGGAAGTAGTTGGTCCTTGTTGGAACTTCAGAGAGACGTTCAGCCCAGCCCGCCGGCCGCCCGGAGAAGGAGGAGCAAAAGGAGGAGGAGGAGGAGGACGAGGAGGAGGAGGAGGAGGAGGAGGAGGAGGAGGAGGAATAGGGAGAGGGGGGGGAGGAGGGGGGAGGGAGGAGGAGGAACAAGTGGATGAGGACGTCCAACAAAAATCGTTCGAAAACGGCCAAGATGGCCGCCAAGCTGCCTCCCAAAACTGCCAATGTGGCCCCACGGGACGATCCCAGGACGCCTCCAAGACAGCCAAGCTATCCCAAAGACAGCCCAAGATTTCCTCCAGACGGCCCAAGAAGTCCCTTAGACGCTCCAAGAGGGATCCGAAAGGACCTCCAGCAGGCCACAAGCCCTTCATCGCCCAAAGGTGTTTCAATGATTCTAGCGTTTTCGCCCTTTCTGATTTCCGACGCCCCAAGACGGACCCATGTGCCCCCAAGATCGTCCCAAGACGGCCCAAGAGGCCCGCCAAGACCTCCAACGCGGCCCTCGAACGCCCGAGGAAAAAACCCATGACTGCCCCGGGAATGCCTCCGAAGGCCGAGAGGCCCCAAGAGGTCCCCAAGAAGGCCCAGGAGGACAACGGGGAGGCCAACATCCTTGATGTTCCGAAAGTATAATATTTTTTTCATCGCGCTCGCCTTCTCGAGGTTTCGACGCCCCAAGAGGGGCTTCCAGGCCCCTGGGATCGCCCTAAGATGGCCCAGCAGGCCCCCGATAGGCACCCAAAACGGCCCAAAAAGGTCCCAAGATAACCCGCGAGGTCCCCGAGACGGCCCCAGACACCTCTTCGACGGTCCTACAACGCCCAAGCAAAAACGCGGGACTTCCCAAGGAGGGCCCAAGACGGCTTCCGACGGCCAGAGAAGCCGTCGAGAGGCCCCCAACATGGCCTCAAGAATGCCCGGGAGAGACTCCAGGTTACCTGTGCGTGATACATTGTTTTCAACGTTCTCGCCTTTTCGGGCGCCTGGTGCTCCGAGACGGGCCCGCGGGCCCCCGAGATCGCCCCGCGGCGGCCCCCGAGCGCCCAAGGGGGGGCTCATGACTACCCCGGACAAGCCCAAGGCGGCCTCCGAAGGCCAAGGGGCCCCCCAGATGCCCCCATGAAGGCCCAGGAGGACATCCAAGATGCCGACGTCCTTGATGTCCCGTAGGTTTTCCCCTTGTTTCAGCGAGTTCGCCTTTCCGGACTGCTGACGACCCAATGCGGGCCCGCGGACTCCAGCGCATCGGCCTACCATGAATGTGAGAGCGAAACAGATCGAGCTGCTCCCACACCAGATCGGCGGCAACCGGGCGCGAGCGAGGGGGGCGTCAAATTTTGGCGGATGGGCCGTGCCCCCCCGCGCGCGCTCCGCCTTTCCAGTATGATGTGCGGTGGGGGCATCCTGTCATGTCCATCGCTTCGCGGACGGACCCCTGCGCGCGCGCGTTCGACGCAAGGTGGCGCTCCGCGCAGCTGCCATTCACTGCGCGCTGGGAGCTGGCACCACTCCGACGTGCGAGCCAGCCGCAACGCCGCGCGCGTGCGACGGACGCGGCGCACTCGCTGTGGCTTTATGGCGTCCGCCAGCTCCTTCCTTTCCTGCGAGGCGGCGCGCGGCTCGGCCGCCGCGCCTGGGCCCGCGCCCCCGAGCGCGCCCAGCCTGGCGAGCACCGACGCCGCAGTGCACTCTTCCTCCATCAAGTCCACGAGCGTCGCTTCCCCTTTCCGCCGCCAGAGCGTCGACGATCGCCGCCTCCCCCATCAACGAGAGCGTCTCGGTCGCATCGACATCCAGCGGGCCGAGCCTGAGCTCGCGCACCTCGTGCACGAGATCCGCGAGGTAGGTCGGCAACCGGCCTCAGCGTGTCAACTCGTCTCTGCCCCTGCAAGACGACCTGCGCTGTCAAGTCGGCCTCCGACTGTGCCGTGGCCGCCGAGCCTGGGCGCCCCGCCGGCGCGCCACGGCCCGCGGGCCCCTGCCCGATCCCCTCCGAATGAGGCCTGCTATCAACGCCTTCCCACGCCTCCGCCTTTAGCGAGCTTGACCACCCTGCGAACGAACGGCTGCGCGCGCCTGGCAGAGCTCGTCGGCAGCAGCGGCGCCGCGGGAAGGCTGACCCGCTTCGCGAACTCCTGGGTGCGGAGCCGCTCGGCCAGTCGCGCCAAGGACTGCCTGTGCCGCGGCTCGCGCTTCCGCGCCAGCGCTGCCGCTGGGGGGCCGATCCAGGCCGCGTGCTTCAGGGGCCCAGCGTTCGCAGACCTTGCCTCCCACGAGAAAAATTCGGCAGCCCTGGCGGGACAGGGGGATGCATGTGCGCCCTGCAGGCGGGGCCGGCCAGCGGCCGGCGGACGGCGCGCAGATCGGCGCGTCGGCGTTGGGAGAAGGAAATCCAGACGCCTTCCAGCCCCGGAGCCGGCGGCAGCGCCGAGGCCCCCAGCCTTCTGCGCCGCCTGGAGCTCCAGCGCCGACGCGTCGGCACTCCGGCCGACGAAGTCGGGGGCCTTCGCGCGCAGCGCCACGTTGCGCCGCGGGCGCTCAAGCCGCGTGGGCTGCCCGCCGCGTCTTCCGAAGATCTAGTAGATAGAACGACTTTTGTTTTTCATTTTTTTGATGTTTATCCTATTTTTAGTTGTTTTTGAAGTTTTTAAAAGTCTGTTAATTAAAGCAGGAGTTAATTTCGTATGCAGCAATCGACCAAAACCACCAGATAGTCAGGATTTACCACCACCTTTAGTTGGCGCGGCGCAGGGAGCGCCGCGGCCAGGCGGTCCGCCAGGGCAGCATCGCCGACCACCGTTTCCAGCGCCTCCTTCGCGGCTGCTCCTCGAGCCCAGCGGCGCGGGCGAGGGCGCGCCGCGCCGCGGCGTCGAGGCCGCCCGCGCCCGCCGCGCCGACTCGCCGCGCTCCGAGCTTAAGCGGCGGGGGGGCCCCCCTTGGGCCCCCGCCCGTAGCCATCCCGTGCGTCCCGCGAGCGCCCGAAAGCAGACGCGACGCAAGGCGTGAGCCAGAATGGCCTGGGCCAGAATCTCTACGGGCGGCGGGGGCATTGAATAAGGGGCCCTTCGATATGGGATCCAGGGTCTGGAGGCCGGCGGAGCTCCAATCGAGGCTTGGCCATGGACACCGCCGCCGCGCTCATCAGATAAGGACCCCCCAGGGTCTGAAGCCTCCTGGGCCCATTCCTTAACGAATGCCCCCACCGTATTTCTTACCCGAACAAGAGAAGAAGCAGTGCAGTCCTGCGTGCAGAACGGATCCAAGCTGGTTCAGAAATCCCGAATCAACATCGGCTGCCGTGACCGCGAGCCTCGTGGCCTTCTCTGGGGGAGCCCCGAACATGCGATCGTTAACCACGATAGTCCTGCTTTTGGCGTGCGCCATCACTGATACTAGAGCAAGATCTTACCACGCGCAACTGCTGCGGGGGGGGTCTCGACAAAAAGGGCGCACCACAGGAGTGTCACCACAGGTGTTGCCTGGGTCTACCTTCTCTTGCTGTGCCTTGGGCAGGCCGGCCAAACTCCGCGGCCGCGCTCGACTACGCGGCGGCGCGCTGACGTCTTGCACAGCCGAACAAATGTGCAAGGCGGGGCTCAGTGCTACCAAAACCAGACTTGCCAGGATGCTCGTCCTCAGGAGAACTCGGCCAAGAAAGGGGTCGCGGCCTCATCGCCAGCGCCGGCAGAGTGCGCCCGCTTGCGAAGCACTTCTCGAACAGGCGCTTGCAATCGAAGTCGTGGGCGTGCTGCGCCGCGCTCAGCTCGCGCCGTGCGTCGTTGAGCCGCCCCGCCTTCTCGAGCCTTGCCGCTCTCTTGGCGGCCCGCCAATGGCCTCTCTTCATGCGCTTTCTAAGTTGCGCTCTTGGTGGGCTCGGTCGATCGATATCCCGCTGTGGCGGCCTTGGTATGGCGCCATCTTGAAGCCCAGGGCCGCTGCAGCCTGCGCGAACATCTGGTAGAGCTGGCTGTGCTCCCAAGGGGTGGCGCGCTCCGAGCTGGGACCCTGGCTGAGGTGCCTGATCATGTGGTCCAGCTAAGGGGTCCTCGCCGAATCCATCGCCACCGCGTCGTCGGCTTCCCCGGTCTTGCTCCGGACCGCGCACGTGCAGCTGGGGGAAGGGTTAGGGTTGGCATGTCCTCCTACAGGCGGATTTTGGACGAAAAATCATAACGAGTCAAACTATAAAAACGAAATAGTAAAACAAATAACAAAAAAATCGTCCCCAGAACATTTTATTTTGTGACAATGTTTGAAAATTCCTCCTGTAGAGGGACGTGCCCGACTTACGGGAAGGGAGGGGGCCCCACCTGTCCGGGCCTCGAGCCGGCGGCCGCAGCGACCGGTATAGGAGCGACAGGAGCTCCGACGGGCACTTTTGGGCCCCCCAAATCGCTCCAAAGGCACCCCAAATGGCCTCAGAACCGCCCAAGAGGCCCCCACGACGGCCCCAAGACGGCCCAAGAGGTTTCAAAGTTGCACAAAAAATGGCCTGGCCTCCAAGACGGCCCTGGAGCACCCCACGAGGGGCCCAAGTGCCCAAAGAGGCCCCGAACACGGCTTCCGACGGCGTCAAGCGACCAGGAATGCCCTAAGACGGCCAAATCGGCCAGCGAGAAGCCCCCCAAGGCCCCCAAGAGGCCAAAGGAAGCCCCCAAGATGCCTTCAAGAGGCTCCCAGGAAGCTCCCAGGAAGCTCCCAGGAGGCCCCAAGAGGCTCCCAAGATGCCCCCTCCTTTTTCCTCCTCCTCCTGATCTTCCCCGCCATCCTCCCTCAAGTGTTCCTCGAAGGGCTTCCACAACGGCTTGGGGACCACATGGTCCGATAGATTGGCAGAGCTCCTGCCACAACGCTCGGCCACATGGGCGATTTCCACAGGCAGGGGGCGGCGGTGATTCGCCGTAGGCGTCTTCGATATGCGGCAACGAGTGCATGCAATTTTCTATTCACAGCGCATTCACGTGCCGCTTGCCAAGTGTGTCGGTCGAAGCCAGCATTTTCATACTGCATGATGTCAAAGGCGAGCGTGGAGCGTCTGTAGCCAGCTCTGGCCGCACAAGGGGATTGTCGCCTCGCCAAACAAACTATGACAACTTTACGACTTAAACTCTTCGCACTAATCTCGATCATTCCCTCGGTGCCTCCAGCAGGCATGATGTTGCTCTGCAGAAATCAGGAGTGGAGTCTTGCATAATGACAGTGCGATAGGGAGAGGGCGAGTTCCAGGGGATAGAGAGAGTTTGGGATCTGGGTCCAATGCTCCACTTCACTTCTTAACTACTCGGTGTCGTCGCTGCGGCAAGCAATCGTCGGGGACGCGTGGAGGGAGCCCTAGGTCCGGCAAACTGAAATTGCGTGCGCAGAGCCGAAAGGCGGCGGTGAGGCAGGCGAGATAACAATGCAAACTGAGCTCGGCAACGGGAAATAATACACAGTTCACCATCTACCATCTACCACAAGAGGCTGGTCCTTATACCCCAAATGTATGAACGGCTCAAGCACAGACCCAATGTGGTGCATGCATCACATTGCGCTCCTCGCACATATGCTACGAGCTCGAAAGGAACGTGGATCATTTTGAGAAAGCGCGGGGAGAGCATTGGCAGATCATGACAACATAAGGTCGGTGATGGGGCGTCCCAGAGCACCGCAAACATTTAAGAGAGGACCTCCCAAAGAACAGGAGAGCAGAGGCCTCAAGGAAGCGCGATGACAGCGGCGGCGACAACTTGCGATACGCACGTGTGTCCCCGCCACGAAATCGGCACAACCGCCACCACTGGAGGTGCCTCCCTGGTGGTGGTGGTGGTGGCGTCGCTTCTTCCTCCTCCTGGACTCGGAGACCCAGAGGCCACGAGCGAGTCAGATCCCCCAGGCAAGCCATGATGTGTGGCTGCAAGGCTACATTGGACGGCTCGGGGGCCAAATGTCAACTAGTCCCGAAAGGGCCCCGAGAGCGCGGGAATCCAGAAAGCCCAAGAGGGCCCGAAGAACCCTGACGACGGCGTCAACTTGGCATCCACTTCACACGCTACGCGCCCTTCATTGGACGACGGTGTACATTCACATAGATCGATCGAGGGATGCCCCAACGGCTCCCACTGGGACGCTCGTGCTCGGACTCGGATGGCATACCCGAAGGATGTCCCACGATGTCCGAATATCCTTCCGATGTGCCCAATGCGTGGCCTCAAGAGCACCCTCACAAACGCCAAGATTGATCCAAAATGCCGCCACCGCGAGGCCGCCAATACTCCCCCTTGTCGAAAACCCACTGGCCCTCTGGGCGGAGGTTGATCCCCTCCTCCGGCCCCTTCTTGGCCCTGCCCTCCCCCCATCCCCACGCCGCAAGACCACCCCCCCTCGCCTAAACCATGATGCTCACATGAGCCGGGCACAAGGTCGAGCCACAGCGCGAACGAGATGAGCGGGGAGAGAGACATGGGATTAAGTCGGGCCTGTCCCCCTGCAGGCCGATGTTTGGACGAAACATTGAAAGTACACCCAACATGTCATAGCAATGCGCAAACGTGGTCAAGACATGGCCCCCTGACTATCTTTTAGAGTGTTTTTGAACATTCCCCCTGGTAGAGGGGCAGGCCCGACGTGAAGAACATAGGAGCGAGAGGGGGGCACGCGCAGGTCGGGTGCAGGGAGAGCCCGCCGGCTGCCGTGCCCCTCGCGGATGCCCGGCCCGCCGCCCCGGTCTGGCCTGCCTGGCGGGTCCGCCGTGCGGGTCCGCCGTGCCCAAGGGCTCCCGACTTCGCGCTTCGCGCTGCGCGCTGCGCGAATAACTTCGCGCTCTCGCGCCGCCTCCCAAGGGAGAAGAGGAGGATGAGGAGGAATCGGAGCCGAACCGCGACGCACGAATCAAATCGCGCCCTCGAGGGCGCCCTTGGTGCCTGTCTGGTCTGAAGTTGGGCCTGTCCCCCTACAGCGTGTTTTTTTGACCCAAAATAAGCCCAAAAGAGTCCCCAGACTGTTTTTTACACTATTTTTGAAAATATCCCCCCTAGTAGAGGGACAGGCCCGACTTAAGTTTGGTCTGCCGTGCGTTCCGCTGTGGCGTGACGGTCTCACGCCGCCCAAACCAGACCGACACGGCAGCCCACCACAGCACGGCAGAACAGCACGGGCTGACCAGCAAAGCACACCAGGCAGGCGAGAACGGCCGACCGCCATCAAGACATGGGAACACAACTGGTGAAGGAGAGGTGCGCGAAGATCCGAGCCGGCGACGCACGGCACGCTCGCCGTGCTGGCCTGCCGTGCTGGCCTAGGAGCATCTTGGGGACCTCTGGGAGCCTCCTGGGACCTCCGGGAGCCCTTTTGGAAGTCTCTTGAGGGCCTCTTGGGGGCCTTTTGGGCCCAAATGAGTGCCAAGCGCGATTCCCTCTGTTTGTCCTTTGCTTGCCTTGTGCAGCAAAGGGGCCTCGGGGGCCGTCTCAGGCTTCTCCGAGGCCCCTCCTGAGCCCCTCTTGGGCCTCGTCGGCGCCGTGAAGAACATACTGTCTTACGTCGCAGCGCGGCAAAGGCAATCCGCTCGCGCGCCCTAGTGGGTCGGGCTACGACACGGCACTACTTGTCCGGCTGCAGAAAGGGGGGAAGTCGGCGGTGGACAAACCTCCCTTTAGTAAACCTCCCCTTAGTGAAAACGGCCTGGGACCGAAACCGACGGACCTAGACCCGCAAAAATGACGGCTGCGACGCCCTCTCGCGAAGCGAAGACGGCCAATTCCTCAATCGACGTGTCAGGGTAGGAGGTCCATCCACCTCCGAGAGAGGGGGGCAGGAGGGCGGCCGCCGAGGGCGGGAAGGAGAGGATGACACTCACGGCGCGAAGAACAACACCATGGGCGGCCAGTGCGGCCAGCCTGTGACGAGGCACCCTGGCAGCGGACGCGGGGCGGCATCACGGCCACGCCCAGAGGCGGAGGCAGAGGCTGCAGGCGTGAGAACGTGGAGCAAGTCGAAGCCCCGCAAGAGGAGGAGCAGCTAGCGTGCCCACGGAGGCAGGCATCTGGATGTCCGCTGGAACGCCTCAGAGGTGTCAGAATGCTGCAGGTGCGGCACCAGGGGCTGCGTGCAGGCCAAGAGGACTGGGCTGGCAAGCCCAGCGCAGCAAAATGCTGCGGTGAAGCCAAGCTGTGCTGCCGAGTCCAGGCTCTGGGGCTGCAGGCGGCAAAGCTGCCAGGGGCTCCTGAGCAAACTCCAGGGCGGGCGGGGCCGGCGACGCTGCGTGCACCGCGACTGAAACGGCGTCGAGTGGCAAGTGCTGGGGGAGCCGCTGCGAATCCAGCTGAGCTGCCAGGAGCCAGGGCGGCGCAGCCGGAGCGGGGTGCTGCGCGGAGCAGCGGGGCCGCCGAGCCGCCTCCGAGCAGGGCCGCAGGGCTGCCTGGAGCTGGGGCGGCCGCAGCCCCAGCGCCAGGCAGCCCTGCCCAGCCCCAGCCCCGGCCAGCAGCATCCGCGCCGCAGTTGCGGAGCGGGTGCTGCCGGCCGGGGCGGTGCGAGCAGCGCGCTGCGACGGCCGCCGCAGGGGCGCCCAAGCGGCGGCAGGGCACGGGAGGCGGCCCTTGCCGGTGCACGCAGCACAGGAAGCCCCGCCGCAGGGCTGGCGGAGCAGGGGCGCCCAGCTGCGGAGGCGGCGGGGCAGGATCAGGGGACGGCGGCTCCCCGGCCGCTGCAAGCAGAACAGCAGGGAGGCCACAAGGCCGCCGGGCCCCGCAGCCAGCCAGGCGTGGCGCCCAGCCGGGGCAGGGAGGCAGCGGCGGCGGAACAGGCAAAGCAAGAGTCCACCTGGGGGGATGGACGCTCCAGCCAGGTCAAAACCAAGGGGAGCGAGACGGTGAGGAGGGAAGGGAAGGGAAGACGTAAACAAGTATGCGCGAACGGCGGAGACTCGGCCGAACCAGGCGATCGGCCAGCCCACTCCGAACTCCCGCACGATCCCACCTTCCAAGTTTTGGCGATCGCCCCTGGCCGCCGGACTGCTTGCGGACAGATCAGTCGTGACGGCCGTCTGGCCGCCGCGATTCCCCCCAAGTGCCACGGTCTCAGCGGCGTTACCGCCGTCGGGGACCCGAGTCGGTCATGGGAACAACCAGGGCCAAGTGAAGCGCTGCATCACTGGTGACCGTCACCTGCCGTACGTCGGATCCGCAAAGGATGTATGGGCAGCCGCCTCATTCAATCCGCTAGACTGATAGACGCTAGGCCGGCCTCCTGGAGGGGAGGACCCCGAGTCCTGGGGCCCACCCAGCGAGCATGTTCTCACAATAGAACCGGGACGCTGCGTGCCTGTCGGGCTTCTC